TCTTATATAATTAAAAGTGAAAATGTCACAATTTTACGATGCTTAGATGAATATTTATTTTTTATATTAATGTTTGTTACTTAATTTTTTAGAAAAATTAAAAAACGAATAAAAATAAATATGAAATAAAAAATTTTAATCTATAATAATAATAAAGGTCAGAGGATGAAAGGTGGTAGGGTATTTTCTGTTGCCCAAAGGGAGGTTGTGTAGTCTCTTTTAGAAGGTAAAGAATTGGCGTGATAAGCAAATACCTAGAAGCAGCAGCATTCAGGTAAGTATTTAATTTAATATTATTATGGTCCACAAATTAGACCCCTCATCCTCTCCATGTGTAATCATAGGTTAGAAATACAGTGCCGTGTCAGCCACCTTTTTCTCTTTGGTGGAACGTCAGTTTCTTCGGTTCATTTAAGTGATAGTATTTAATATTTAAACTTTGTGTAATAAATTAAAAGTAAGAATCAAGGATGCATGGATAAAAGAATAATAATTACAGAATAAAAACAAAATCATAGTCATAGAAGCTTGGGCATCATTTTCTGTCTCTCGTCTTTCATACCCCATCCTAATCAAATTGGAACTTACCTTCAAAGTCATGTTCTCCACACTCCCAATCACAGCTCCATCATGTTGCATTAAATTAATACTTCACATGTTCTCCATACTCTTTTCTCATCAACTATTTTGGGGATTTATTATTTTATTTGCTCAACATCTGGCAATACACGTACAAGTTGGGTATAAAAATACCCTATACATTCTATTATTTAAGGGTCTGATTGGACGGTGTTATAAATAAAGAAAGCATGGAATGGAAGTCGGGAAGGGAATCCACCAACAACCAGACAAATCACAACACCAACGTAAGTGAAACCCCCCAAAATTACATTTTCCTCGTCTCCTGTTAGAACCGTGACTTCTATTTCCATATCTTGGTCTTCTTTGTTTGCATATACTTAAATGATCGCCGCTATGTGCACGCGCTTTCTTCTTTTATTGTCCAAATTTGCTTGCAGCCTGCAGACTCCAAGAAGCTCTCTTATCTCACGATTTAATATTCCTTTCTTCTTTATTCTCTAGTTTATATTTTGCGTCTGTTTTTCTTGTCAAAGGTTGATAGAAAAGGCACGTAAAATCTTCTTATTGGAGATGGATGTACGTTGGGGATTCAAGCGGTTCAAATTCAGGATGATGTTCATGTTGATTTTATCACTGTTTGATCAGAATATGAGCTTTTCGTCGTCTTTGAACAGTGAAGGTATATACATAGTTATTCAATGGCTAGAGCTCTGCCTGTAAGTGAAGTTTCTTAAGGCCTTAAACAGAGTTCCATCTTTTATTTATGCGTAGGTTTGGTTCTACTGAGGTTGAGAGAGAGAGTGATCAGCGACCCTTTTGGTGGTTTATCAAACTGGAAGGAAAATGATGGAGATATTGATCCGTGTTCTTGGTTCGGGGTCGAGTGCTCCCATGGAAATGTAGTCATCCTGTGAGTTATCTCGTCTCTTACATCTTTATCTCCATGGTTGACGTCGTGGATGATTGTCAAGACCGAAATTTCTAAACTATACTGTCTAAAATGAAGGTTGTTCTGTTTGTTTAAACTTGAAAGATCAATGCTCATTGTAGAAACTTGAAAGATCTTCGCCTTGTTGGGAGCTTGGGACCTGAAGTTGGGAAGCTCGGGCATTTAAAATCTATGTAAGTCTTATCATTGGTGATCCGTATATGGTTTGACAAATCACCTTTATTTTGCTCAGTCTTTTTTAGTTCTGCTTTCTACCTTGTACCATTGCAGAATAGTGCGCAACAATTCTTTCTCAGGAAGCATTCCTAAAGAAATTGGGGAATTGAAGGAGCTGGAGGTGTTGGATTTAGGATACAATAACTTTAGTGGACCATTTCCACCTGGTCTGGGCAATAATCTTTCCTTGGCAACGCTGTAAGATCCTCTTTTCAAGTTGTTTGCATTTTGTTTTACCTATTGGAGCTTTTATTTAGTCCCTTTTGCTCCAATTTCTTGCAGATTACTCGACAACAATGAATTTCTGGGCACCTTACCACCCGAGTTATATGAGGTTAAGATGCTTTCTGAGTTTCAAGCTGATGAGAATCAGCTAACTAATATTGCATCTGTTTGTCCATCCTGTAAAAGTAGAGATTCTCCACGGTAAGCAATTAAAATTACCATAATATTTCCATTTCTTTTGTGCATGGTATATGGAATCAATCAATCAATCAACCAATCTCAATTAAGATCATCAAAGATTGAACAGCACTTGCAGAAGAAGAAGGCCAGAGGATTTTTTAGGCTTATAGGATGTGTCTCTTTGTTTCTCTACGTCTTTAATAGCTGCAATTGACAAGCCAAAGCAAGCTTTTTTTTTTCTTTTTTATATTAGTCATTAGCTTCATGATATCTTGTCATGTTCAGGAAAACTGCCCAGCCAAGAGTTGCGCCTCTCGGGAGGCGACTGCAGCAGTTCGTAGATCTCTTCAAGGCACACAAAGGAAACAGAAAAGCTTCCCGACCGTCAGTACCACCTACAGTTGCAGCTAGTCTTCTCTCTTCCCCTTCAATGTCACCATCACCATTGTCTCCGTTTATATCTCCTCTGGGCTCACCATTTTTGTCTCCATCGCCATCTCCCTCCAGTAACATTTTGACTCCATCTTCACCTTCGCCTGCATCAGCACCGACTCCAGTTTTACCACCTCCAGGACATCCACCAGTATATATCTCTGGACCACCACAATCACACAGTGCCCCAACTGATTCTCCTGTTTCAACTCCGAGCCAAATAGCAGATGAGAGGTCTGATTCAGAACATCATATGGTTCTAATTTTGATTGCAAGTATAGGGGGTTCCTTGTTTGTTTTGGTTTTGGTCCTTGGCATATTCCTCTTCCGAAGCAGTAAAGTGGTTACTGTCAAACCTTGGGCCACAGGATTGAGTGGGCAGCTGCAGAAGGCATTTGTAACAGGTATCTTTCCTTAGCCGCAGAGTACCCTTCGTGCATTGCTCAGTGTCTGTGAACCTGTACAAATAGCAGAAACCTTCTGCTAACCAACAAAACATTCTTGTAACCAATTTATATGGAAATCTTCTGCAAAAAGTACTATCTTCACCTTTTGGCTCAAATCCTTGGTGAAACGAAGTCGGAGTTTCCAACCTCTCTCTCAGTATAGTCTATAGATTTGCATTTCTCATATATTAATGTCCTCATTTCAGGTGTACCAAAGCTCAAGCGATCAGAACTTGAAGCAGCTTGTGAGGCTTTCAGCAATAATTGGTACCTTCTCCGATGGCACAGTTTACAAGGGAACTTTATCAAGTGGGGTTGAAATAGCCGTAACATCGACTGCAGTTGCATCTCGTGAAGATTGGTCAAGGAATTTAGAAACACAATTTAGAAACAAGGTACTGCTGTATAATTAATCACAAAAGTCTTTACTCTCGACATTTTGTTGACCATTTCTGAGTATCAAATATTTTTTATTCTTTCAGGTAGATGCTTTGTCTAAAGTGAACCACAAGAATTTTGTGAACCTCATAGGCTATTGTGAAGAAAATGTGCCTTTCACAAGAATGATGGTTTTTGAGTATGCTCCCAATGGAACACTCTTTGAACATCTACACAGTAAGTCCTTTTACTTAATCTGTATTGTAAGACGAGTATGCTCCAAATGAGATACGGCCAGGATGATGCTGAATTTTGAATTTGATGCAGTAAGAGAAGCCGAGCACTTGGACTGGGGAATGCGACTAAGAATAGCCATGGGAATAGCGTACTGCCTTGAGCACATGCATCAGCTAACTCCCCCTATAGCACACCGAAACCTGCAGTCTTGCTCAGTGTATCTGACTGAAGACTATGCTGCCAAGATATCTGATTTCAGCTTCTTGAATAATGCAACCGCCGCCAAGGTGGGATCAGATACCATGGAGGTCTTAGAATCCCAACCAGTAGATCCAGAAAGCAACGTTTATAGCTTCGGCGTAATATTGTTTGAAATGATAACTGGTAGGATCCCATATTCGGTAGACAATGGCCGTGTTGCAGACTGGGCCTCAGATTACTTGAAAAGGGATCGATCCTTGAAAGAAATGGTGGATCCAACTCTTAAATCTTTCAAAGAAGATGAGCTGGAGAGTTTGTTTGGAGTGATTAAAACATGTGTTAATCCTGATCCAAAAGAGAGGCCAACAATGAGAGGAATCGCAGCCAAGTTAAAAGAGATAACGGCAGTAGGACCTGACGGTGCAACGCCAAAACTCTCTCCCCTTTGGTGGGCTGAGCTTGAAATCTTGTCCACAGAAGCAAGTTGATCAGTGCAGTTGAAACCTGAATAAACTTATATTTTCCCCTGCCTTGTATTTTTGTGTGGCTCCGAAGCAGTGGAGTTTCGTGTAGGTGCTTTCTCTAATCCAATGCCTTGTAAGAGAAATGATTTTTTTTTTTTTTGTATATAGTTGAGAGATGAATCGTTGTGAGTAAACCCTGGTCTGTTGGCCGTTGCCACTTCCTCATTCTTGTCGTTCTTTTTGCATAAATAATGGTTGATATATCAGAAATGTATGCATTCGACGATATTACCAGTTCAATATTCTATGTACTTTCAGTCATTTGTGTCGGGCTTAGACCTGCCAATTAGTTATCTGGTAGATTCATTCAAATGTGCAGAAATGAAGAATTAGTAAAACAACTCCAGATTCTAGAGCTATTTGTACCATAAAAACAGCTAGTTCTAGTAAGGTATGTAGCAACTAGCAAAGAACTCAAGTAAAAATAAAAATGGATAGACTACAACACAACATATCAGAAACTGATTATAACATGTAGGTTTATATAATAGCAAAGTTCATGTATATTCAAGGGACAATAAGGAAGGGAAGAAGATTACCGCTACAACATACTTGTAGCAGTAGGTAATCTCATTAGTTACATTATAGGATATACTTTCATTATGCATACAGTAGTTACAATATACAGACTGTTTAAATGACCCAAAGAACAAAATGTTCACCATGTATTTCTAGTGTTCAACTTTGGCCTGCATATCTTCTATTGAGGACCCTTATAGTGCTAAACGGCCATCTAAAACTCAGGTTCACAAAACTCCTATACTTTTCCAATAAATACTTGACCCAGAAAATGTACTGAAAATTCCATTCTTAAACTTTAAAGCATTCTTATAACCCAAAGCTTATATTTCTTCATATACAGATACAAGAGGCAAGGTCCAATCAAACTCGCATCATATAGTCTTTTGCAGAAATCGACATAAATTCTAATGTTTCCTGGCTGGTGGATCCTTTTCCTCAGTTCCTGCAGAACAGCTGCCCTGTCTAAATACGCTGGATATAAGCCCAAATCAAGCATTTTGACCACTGTTTCAGCAGCATCACCTATATGCCCTCCTTTAATATAACCTCTCAATAACCAGGATAAAGTTTTCCTCCTACGCAGGGATCTTGAAACCTCCAATCTAGAAAGCAACCGCGATATTGCACTAGTCTCCTTCTGGGAAGCACAAATAGCTAAAACAATGTCGTAAAGGTCTCCATCAGCTTCTTTACCAGCAATCTTCATCTCCCACAGTTGCTTTTCGGCTCCAAGTCCATGACCAGCACAAATATACATAGCAAGAAGCCTCTCATGAATCAACCCATTAATTGAAGGACTTCCTTCTTGAATTGCCCAATTAGACAACTTTATTCCATCAGCAAGAAGATCAGACTGATACTTTTCTATAAGTTGTATATTTTCCATATCAAGTTCAGCAACTAAGCCAGACCTGGCAAAACCTTTCAACTTTCGCAAGGCTTTTGCAAATTCATTAAGCTCTTTGACTATTGCTGTCATTGCCATGAGGTAGCTGTAAATCTCGGGCTTCAACCCGGATTCTCTAAGTTCAATCACCAATCTGATGGCATCCACATAGTTACCCTCAACCTGGCAGAACAGAGGTAAGAAACCACCACATTAAAAGACACAAACGGAATTGCAATAAACTCTGGGACAATTAAGAATTGGTAATGAACTATACAGGCGACAGGCAAGAACAAGAAATATTAACAAATGATTAAGCATAAACAGCAGTGGCCATTATTTCCAAGAATAAGGAAAAATAAATAACTTATAAACAATAGTAACAATGAAAAAAAAATTCAAGCAGACAATAGCAAGCAAATTTGATTCAATTGCCTATTCCTGAAAAGAACAGAAAATTCAAGCATACCGTCATCTTCCAAGCAAGATAGCCAGCTGGCCCACCCTTCTTCCCTTCACCATCATCATCTTCATATGAAATTCCCCGGTTCAAAACTTCCTTCACAAAAATAACAGCTTCCTCCCTTTTATCCATCTCCCAATACATCGAAATCACCTTCTCAATCATATTAAAACCCGGTATCAACCCCACGCAATCCATTTCCACGAGGAGATCAACCACGTCACCAACATCACACTCTCCTTCAATCAGCTTCTTGACCCAACTACACATAATTGAAACCATAAGTTCCATTGTCTCGTTATCAACCTTATTCTCCTTTCTGAGCCACTCAAATACTTCAAGCGCACACCAAGAATCTCTCCCTTCTTGAGAAAAGTAAACTAGAACTAACTGCAACTCTCTTGATGACAACTTATCATTCATTTCTTCAAGAACATCAGAGGCTTCCCTTGTCATTCTCTCTAATTCTTCAATTGCCTCGAAGAAGCCTTCGCTCATTTCATCTTCATCATCACCCGTTACATATTGGTCTAATTCCACCGACGTGAAGATCCTGAATTTTGGTTTTCTAAGAGCAAAGTTTGGATTTTGGTGGTTACATATTCTGGTTGAAAATCTTCCAAGACTAGGTTTTGGAAAGAAAGTTTGATTAAATTGAGGAGGCAAAAAGCAGTGCCGATAAAAAGGCAAAGATAATTCAGTCAACGATGTGCACCCACGAACAAAAGCCATCAGTGGGGTATGTGAAGTGTTTGATTCCCTAGATAGTTTAAGTGAAAAGGAAAGGATAGAGAAACAAAAGTTATAGCTATGCGAGCTTCAGTTATCGAAAACTAAACAAAAACCCAAGTCTAATATGAGTCGAAAGAAGATTTACTAGTCCCAGCTGAGCCAAAAGATTCCTCCTTTCTTTTATTTTCCTACGATTTTTCGGCACCCAAGCAAAAACCCAGGTTCGTTCAGGTCGGAGCTGAAAGCAAAACGAAAAGAACAAAGGAACCCATAAGAGGGGAAAAGATAATAAGATAGCCAGGAATTGAATTGTCGGGGTGAAAAATTGTGATGAAAAAAGAGATTTAGGAATTGGGTGGTGTTGGTGTTGGTGTGTGAAACGGCCGAAGCTCGATTCACCACATACAGAGAAAGCTACAAGAGAGGAATTCGGTTGATTTTTTTAGTGTTTACAGTGCGAGACGTGTCAAAACTCCGAACATCGACTTCCAGCGCATTTTGTAATCATCTCTTCAATACTTCTGGATTAGGCTCTACGTTTGGATTAGCGACCGAAAGTCCTTTTCGCTTAATTTTTTCTCCTGATTTTTTTAGATCACTTGTTAGGCTGATTTTGATGCTCTATTCTGAGGAGATGAACAAACATGGGCTCGTATTGGATTTTGGGTCTGTGGGTTGCTATCCATTGGGAAGGGTTTAGAACGCCAAAACTTGAGCATACAATAGCTTTTTGTTAAGTTTTTTTGGGCCAATACCCGGGCGGGTAAATTGTTTGGTCCAATAGGCCAACAAAGAATTTAATTTGTAATCTAAGCCATTTGCTACAGAAAACGTTAAACTTATTGTCTCAACGAGATGAGATTATTTAAAAATATTTTTTATTTGTCTTAAATATGTAAGTCTCGTGTGGGTCAATATTTTAATATATTCACTAAGATTCGTCATGTCGAAATGACGAGTCCATTGAATTTTTTTTTTAAATTCATTAAAAAATTAAAAAATTTTAAAAAATGTAAATTTAATTACGTCGAGATGAAGAGTTTTCCTTGAATATTTTTTTTGCAACCGGTAACTTTTTAAATTTTAAAAAATTATCTTTAAAACTCATCACATCAATGTCACAAGTTTCTTCGAATATAATTTAAGAAAAAATATTAATTAAAAATAATATTACAAAAACTTAAATAAATAAAAATAATAATTTTATTACAAACTAATACAATGCATAATAAAATTTATTTATATTTTCGTAGTTCTTGACGATGCCGAAGAGTGATCGAATGCTAATGACGCGGGACTCATCGAGTACGTCGTGGTCATCCTCCTTGATTGTCTTCGTCTTCATCTTCGTTTGCTTCTTGAAGAGGAGATGTATTGAATAGGGGTGTTCAAAATCGGGTACCCGAACTTTTCGGGTACCAAAATATCAGTCAGTGTCGCCCATTACATTCGGGTACCCGGTTCATAATATTTTTATTTTTTCTTTAAGTTATATTATTTTAAAAAAAGTATTATATAGAAAAAATACTAACATTTAAAATTTAAAAGTCTATAATATATAATTCACACATAAATTTAAAAATTCAAATTACATAATTAAAAGTAACTTATCAAAAATTAAAATAAAAATATAATTAAATTTCAAATGTTTTGAAGTTAAAATAAATATTTAAAAAACAATTTAGAATGTTAATGTGAAATAATTTAAGAAAGTAAGAATTTAGAATGTTATGGGGATAAAATTTAAGAAAGTAGGAATTTAGAAGGTTTGACTGAAATAATTTGAGAAATATAAATAAAATTCTAATATAAAATAAAAGTAAAAATAATATATATATAAATATAATAAACTGGGTATCGTGTCAGCGGGTACCCTGTTAAGGGAGATTTTGTGACCTGGGTACCCGACCTAGAAAATCGAGTATTTTCAAAATAAATACATGATATTTTTAACTAGATCGGTTGGTCGACAAATCAAGTCAGCCGGGTTGGGTATTTTTAACACCCTGATTATTGAATATCACTATGCTTTGAGATGCACCTTCGAAATACGACGATGGGCTAATGATATTTGACGCCATCATTGTTGTCATTGACTCTACTTGCCTATGTTGTTAACCATATATAATATGATCCCATTCACCCTTACCCTCATATTTAGTCGAAGATGTTTAAGTGTTTTGCATTGCATCACACAAACTTCTAACCTAATTCGACTAAGTCTCCAATGAAGCATGATATGAAGGATAAAAACCAAAATTGGTCTGAGATGCAAAATAATTGACAGAAGTAAAAAATGAATATGTCGATGATGATTTGTTGGCCTTTGTGAATTTGGCATTTCCTTGTTCTCATTCTTTTTACTTTTTCGATGTCGTTAAATATGGTTTCTCATTTGCTTCATAATTTTGGAGGTAGTGAGAAATGTCAAAATCAAGGTCAACAGGTGTAATCTCGTAATGCATAAGGACTGATAAATGACGCTGATTTCATTCCCATGTTATTTCAACGCTCTGATACCATATTGGATTTCTCTACTAAACTAAGAGATTAAAATCATATTATTGATATTTTATATGTGTGTAAACTACAGAGGTAAGTAATCCTTATATACAAGTTGTATGCATGCAGTTAACCCTAACATAAGCATAACAACTTCATCAACAACCAAGTAACATACTCATAACGTCATAACGTCAAAATGTCTATGATACACAAGTTTCACGTTGTAACAACCCCAACCCGTATCCAACCCGGATACGAGTCAGAGATAATACATTGACTTTTAAAACACATCCCATTACAAATAATAGCAAAATATTTGAACTTATATTGCGAAAAATACAATAATATACATATGGTAATATAAGTTTACCAAAATATTCAGAGCATACACAACTTAACTCTTTAGTTACATGCCAACATCCATTTTCATAACAAAATGACCTACTGATTAAGTTGCTTCTGATCTTATAGTTGCAGGAGTAATGTTGTCCAGCTGCTTAACCTCGATCGTCTACTTTATCGAATCCTACGTGTGAAATACTCACACGCTAAGTCATCGACTTAGTGAGGTAATATAATAATAATATCGATAAATATAAAGTAATTGCCAAAATAAGATGGGTTGCAATGATAAGATGTATGTAAACAATGCAATAACCAGAACCATGTTTCTTACACATATACTTATCAAATTCACATTCATAAGTTCGCCTTAGTAAGTTCATTAGCCCATGGTACCATACAGAGAACCTAAGGTATGTGAGTACTGTGAGGTTGTGCACTATGTTGTCACCACAGCTCATATAATTGTACCTAAGTGCCACGTAGAATTGCACCGGAGTGCCGCGTAGAATTGCACCGTAGTGCCATATAATAATGTCCATAAAGACCACATATCATTCCTTAAGAATCATATACATATGCCAAGGATCAAGTATGTGTCTCACCAGACCTCACACATGTTCCAAAGAATACATATATGTCCCGAATGACCACATATCATTCCTTAAGAATCATATGCATATGCCAAGGATCAAGTATGTGTCTCACCAGACCTCACACATGTTCTAAAGAATACATATATGTCCCGAATGACCACATAGACCCTCTACCCTTGGCATGCCAACTATACCTATAGTTCTCATTTATATAACATGGGCTTTCACAATTTATCTTATTTGTATCACGTAGACATATTATTTTCATACCTTTATCACATAACTTATATAACCTTTTCTTGTATATTCATGTCCCATAATGCATATGGTATGGATTCATGTCAAATATCATAATATGAAATACTATCATGTATCAAAATATTGAATCTAGACTTATCACAAGTCTAGAACTGAATAAAATACATATTAATGCTATGCATATGCACTCACCTAGATTTCTTTGTCTTTCCCTCGATTGATCCTACTTGTTGATGGTTCTGGAACTCGTTTAGGCTCGATATCTACATAGTAATTCATTGATACTTATCAGTATACTAATTAATATATTCTAAACTATCATTTCTTAGGCTAAAAGAAAAGTCATTTTCATCTTTTAATGGAGGTATGCATCGATGCACTACACCATGCATCAATGCATAAATCCTATTCGATGTTTGTATTTAATGGGGATGCATCGATGCACTCCTTATGCATCGATGCATAAATCCTATTTGATGTTTTCTTTTTAAATTAATACATCGATGCACTGTATGTGCATCGATGCACCTTAAACAATTTCTGGGATTTATCATATGTGCATCGATGCACATTGCTCAGAATTGTCATTTTAGCACGAAAATCTCTTCTTAGTCTACTTAACACTTTATATTTCCCCTCTTTATATATCCTTAACTTGCATACTCTTACTTAAACTAATTATTATCCATTCCATACTTTTGAAACTTAAAATTCCAATTCTCCATGTAGAATTTAAGAATCTAACCCAAATTCCAACATTTTCTAATTTGAATTCTAACACCTCATAGTTCTTAGTTAGATTTATGACAAGTCAAATTCCACTTCTAATTCTTATTAGGAACTCTAATCCAAGATTTCACTTTTCTACTTCCTTTCTTTGATTCTTCATATTCTCCTCATCTTATGGTTTTAAGATAATCTAAGCTTTCCTTAAGCTTAGTTATCAACTAAGGATAAAAAAGAAACCTTAAATTCATCAAGAATTTAATCAACAATAAAACTCACCTTTAGCTTGGTCTCTCGACGGAGAAGAAGAAGTGAATAAGAAGAGAAATCTGGAAACTTTTGTTCTCTTTATTTGCCTTCCACGTGGATTTAAATATCCTCATCTAATATTTAATTATTTCCCCTATTAAAAGACTCATTTATCCCTTTAGTTCCTCTTTCTTTGTTAATTGATCCTACACAAAACATTCCCATTAAATCTTTCAACTATTCAATTTATCTACTTTGGTCATTGAATTTTATAATTTCATAATTTGATCACTAACCCGGTATGGAGGATGTTACAAATCTCCCTCCCTTAAAAAAATCCGTCCTCGAATTTTCATTATACGAACAGATGGGGATATTGAAGTCGCATATCTTCTTCACGTTCCCACGTAGCTTCTTCTACTTTGTGATTTCACCAAAGAACCTTGACCAACGGAACTGTCTTACTTCTTAACTGTTTTACTTCAAAAGCCAATATTCTCACTGGTTCTTCTTCAT